TCCGGATACCGCTAACGGTTAGCAAGCGCTATCGGTTATCAAGTTGAGCGTGTTTCTATCATCAACCAATCACACGTACGCGTTTACAATTTCCAGTTTCTTATTGGCCAGTGATTCGATCATCATATTTTTGGTATCCGGATCGGGATTTTCTCGGATGGACGCGTTGACCTCTCGTAAAAAAATGACCAATCAGCATTCAATTACGTGTGCTGAGAGCGAGCGTATATTATTTCGTGCGCAATGTTTGGAAACTCGTTTCCTGGTTACGGTTCATTAATATAATGGAAATTCTCGCGCCTGGCTATAGATCCACCTTGTCTGAACGCCCGGAAAAGTTAAGCCGGGCTTAACCTTGAACCGGGCTTAACGTAATCCTGGCTTATCTTCCAGTCTAAACGTAGCCGTTAAATCATAAGCAAACACGTGCATTTGTGTGACAACGCGTGTGATTGCGAGACGCGCGCGTATTCTTGGTTCTGTTCTGATTGGTCAGTTGTTACGTTTGATTGACACTCCAGAAAGGTCCATTGTAACAAGCTACAGCATTTAAAGAATCTCTCTTATATAGCTGAATAATATGTGTTTTGTAGTTAATACGATGACCAGCAAATTATTGCAAATACTGTATCGTTGGCATTGTGCGCTTTTTAAAACTATATTATTCATTATAATTAAATCACCAAGTGCCCTGAATATTTTGAGATTATCATATGGTTACTTCTGCTAGAAATGTATCCCTTCCCCATCCGGTCGTCCAATTATTTTTATATTGTTCGAAATATGTTAAAGATTTGAATTTTTCTCTAATGTTTCTAATATTTTATTACACTGATTAAAATAATGACACATGTGGAATTACAATGAAATACTGTGTAGGAATCCTTTTGTTTTTCTCATGTAACCTACTGTATTAACACAAAAAAATATCTATCTGTAAAATAAACTTTGATATTTTACAGAATTGTTGTTTGATTTGATACTTTATGGAATGATATATTGGCCATATTCGACTGGTTCGTTTCATTAACAACGATTTTTCTTTGAGTATTATTTCCATTCGACTGTCATTCGACTGAAAGCGTCGGTTTGCTTTTCGTCAGGATTTGTTCGAGGGGGTCAAGGGACCCCAGCGGTGGGGGTGGTTCTATTGTCCCCGACAAGAAACAAAGTGGGCGTAGTCGGGCGTCGCTCAAAAGCCATTGATAGTGGTCCAGGTGCGAAGTCCCCCAAAAAATATGACAATTTAGGGGTTTCCAAGGCTTATTTAATCGATTTTAGATTCTAATAATATGTATAAAACACATATATTTCTTCCCTCCGACGAATTGTGGTTTTTCTCTCAGATTAGCAAAGCCTCCCCGACGGGGGTTGTAGCTCTTGCCACTTCCCCTCCATAGCGCCGCCACTGATGATTGGTTGCGTATTTTTTCACCTTACTTTCACAAAAAGTAGAAACAAATGCAAAATCTACGATAGAAATTTGAATGCGCATGCATGCATATGAACCGATGCTTTCCGTTCGATTCGCGCAATTAAATTCCCCTAGTAAAAAGCATCCTCAAAGCCTGATGTCCACTACATCGACCGCGTCGGTTCGCTTCTTCTCGAGCTCTGATTGGTTGCGCATTTTTTCGCTCGCAACAAACTCCGACAAAAATGTGAATAGGCATATCATCCACATGAGCCGACGCTTTTGATTAGCGCGAATAAATTCGCCTAGTGGAAAACAGGATTTATGCCTGTAACACTAGTTAGCGGCGCCCCTGCCTTACCGCTCGGCCACCCGGACAATTTTATTTCGAAGTTAGAACAACGCCAGAAATATGCTATTGTTCCATAAACAATAGAGAAAGCATAAACACACGTGTTCACGATGTCGTTTGGTCATACAAAAAAAAATCGAAGGGGCGGGGCAGGCATGGTCTATTGAATATGCGTACCGTTATGAGTTTAACATGTACTTTACGATGGGAGGGCAGATTCAGAATCACACACAGCGATGTCAAACGTTATGCTGTTCTTTATTCATATCTCTATCTTTATTTTATAACATAACCTATACATTTTCCCAGTTTGACTAAAATATTTATTTAGTTGCTCAATTAGTTACACATAGAGTAAAGATACTGCTCACTCATGTACCTTTGTTAGTGTAGCCGTTCAATAAATCATTACCCGTATTATGGGAACAGCAATATTTATAATAATGACAATTATTACTATATAAATTATTATTCTTACAATGATAATAATAATAATAATAATAATAATAATAATAATAATAATAATATAATAATAATTTTATTTAAAGTATAATAATAATAATAATAATAATAATAGGCTATAATCATAATATATTTACTATTATAATTTTAATAAACCCGTTAACATTATTTTGTCTATTTAAAGTTCATGTAAGATTTTTAAATTTTGTTTTTAATAATTATGCCTTTCATTTTCAATTATATATATATATATATATATATATATATATATATTTTTTTATTTTTTTTTTATTTATTTGTTCTTTATACTGGGTGGACTTTTCAGTCAAAAAGACTGTTCTTCCAGAGTGCCCAGTATGTTTTTTAAGGAAAAGAAATGTAGAAATATAAAGAGTAATATGATGATCACTAATCGATTAATATTTTTTTGTATTCATTTGTTTCATCATTTTAGCTATGTAAAAAATTGAAAGGCAGTGGGTTTGTTGGAGTTTTAGTTAATGGTTATGGTTAATGGTTATTAATTTATAGAGCGCAAAATACAAAAAAGTCTCTAAGCGCTATCAGGCAAGTGTAAAGATGGAACGGAAACCAAAACCACAAAATAAAAAGAAGTGAAATTTGAATACCATGCCAGCACCCAAACCGAAGTATGGGGATACGCCCTCATCGCTGGCTAGGGTTCAATCTAATTGAACTACAGTCAGCACCTGTTGAGTCTCGGCCATGGAAATAGGAAAAAAAATAAATTAAAGGGACGAGAATAAGTGGGTCTTAAGTCGTTCTTTGAAAATGGTGACAGAAGGTGACTCACGAATAAATAAAGGTAACAAGTTCCACAACTTGGACCCAGCAACCATAAACGATCGCTCCCCACAAGACTTTAACCGAAATGATGGAACACATCTAGGTGTGTATAAGAGGCAGGCATCATGGATGGACATGGGAAAAGACTCCTCTCCTTA